GAAGTCGCCGCCCATGGAAGGTTATGTTCAATTTCCGATCCTTCGGCCTCCCTGCCGGTCTCCCCGACGCAATTTCTCGTCTTCGAGTCAACATCGGCTACTTTCGTATGAACTACGCTATTATCGTACTTCTTATTCTCTTCCTCAGCCTCCTCTGGCACCCGATCTCCCTGATCGTCTTCGTCGTACTCATGGCTCTTTGGCTGTTCCTCTATTTCCTCCGCGACGAGCCGCTGGTGATTGCTGGTCGTCTGATCGATGACCGTGTGGTCCTGATCGTGATGGCGGTGCTGACCGTTGTTCTGCTGCTCTTGACCAACGTGACTCTCAATGTAGTGGTGGCGCTCTTGATCGGAGCGGGGTTCCTGGTAGCGCACGCGGCGTTTAGGAGGACCGATGATTTGTTCCTCGATGAAGAAGAAACTTCTGGATTGATGCCTAATGTAGCTACTACGGGTGCTTCTTCTTGATTCTTCTGTTTAATTTTAATTTCCTCTCTTCTATTGTTATTTCACTTATTTGTTAATTAATTTCAAGTTTGAAACTAGAGATTGCATTTCGTTCCTTGTGAATTCATATTTCTATTTTTGGGATGGGATTATGTGTAGAAATTGGTATGGGGTTGGGTTTTGGGTGAATAACGTGTTCTTACTCCTTAGTTTTTAATTTCATTCTTCATTTCTTTTTTATGGCACTAATGTTTGCTTTTTTGGGCTTTGAAGCTGCTAGAAAGTTGAAATTTAAATTTTTGGAATAGATAATGTGGTGCTTAAGATGAAATTGGATCCTACACTTTAGAGAAGTTATGATTGTCCAAAAAAGTACAGTTAAGACTCCCCCCCGGCTCCTGCTTTTATTGTTTGGAGGTGTTTTCCCCTTCCTAATTTTGAGCTAGAAGTTTTCTGTCTTAATATAGGACTCAATTCTTGATTTGGTTTTGATTCTAAATATAAGATCTATTTTTCATATTTATTAATTTTTTTTTCTAAATTACTCCTATGGATACTCCCTCAACCATAATCAAGTAAAAGAGGAAGAGGGGGTATTAAAAAACATGATTATGGTGTTTTAAAAAAAATGTCACTTTTCTTATAATTAACTAACTTACCTAACTTTCTTAATCTAATCAAATTAGTTAAATGAGTCTTATATTAAGAACTGGAAGAGTATGATATTGAGTTTTTTTTTTTTGAAATGACCGGGTGAAAAACGCAGAGACCAGCTAATCATAGTCCAGATTGAAATCTAGAAAGATTTTGTAATTTGTACTATGTAGGAAGAAGAAATATAGATCTAGGGTCTTGTTTGGTTGCAATAAAGAAATTATTGAAATCTGGGAGCAGCCATCATGCAACAAGATATAGAATGACCAAATAAATTTTTATACGGGGGACTTATAATGTTCACATTTTAATTTACATCCTTTTCACCAAAAAAATTTATATTTTTTAATAAGAGATCCGTATAATTAGGACCAAGGTAATATTTCACAACAAATTCCGTCATGCTTGATAGTTTTAGTTGAAATCATCAATTCATGTATAAAATACTAGTTGTTTTTGTTTTAAATGTAAAATTAATAGGGAGGTTTATTTTAAGTTAAATATAAGATGTTAATTCATATTATCTTTTAAATTTACAATTTTTTCCCTAAATTCTTTCTAATTATTGTATATATTAATGTGATTTTTTTTAGTCAATGAATTCTCAATGCAAGTAATTAAAATAATACCTTAAGAAAATCAATATACTTTTTAATAAATAACTAAACCACCTAATTTCCATAATCTCTACAAAATAATCATATACCCTCCTCCATACCTAGTATGGAAAAGAATACATGTTTTCTATGTATTTTTGTTTGAAATAATAATTCGACTTTGATTCGATCCTCTGAATTATTAATTATAAATAATTTGGGATGTCGATTGGTTATGGATTTAATTTTTAAAATTTTCAAACCACTCATCACTACACATGAGCTACAAAACATTAATGTTGATATATGGTTGGTGTTAGGTCCGGGAAAAAAAAAAAGGTTGGTGAAATTAATGTTTCGCAATTCATTCACAAAGTAACTCGATACTACTTCCGGTTTTTAATACAAAAACACATTTGATTTTTTATTTTGGTTCTAAATATAAGATCTTAATTTATTTTTTTATCATATTTATCTATTTTTTTCTAAGGTAATCTTTATAATAATAGTAATTTAACTAATATATTTTATTAGTAAGGATAATTTAGAAAAAATAATTTCTATTTATTATAAATAACTAATTTAACTAGATTTTTTAATTTATTTAAATTAGTCAAGTAGCTCTTATACTCCTCCTATCCTTAATATAGAACTCGATTTTTAGTTGGTTTTGATTCTAAATGTAAAACCCATTTATCATATTTATTAATTTTCTTAAATTATCCCTATGAATACTCTCTCAACCATAATTAAGTAGAAGAGGGAGAAGGGGTATTAAGAAAGATGATTATGGTGTTTTAGGAAAAATATGTCACTTTTTTTATAATTAACTAATTTATCTAGCTTTTTAATCTAACCAAATTAGTTAAATGGGTCTTATATTAAAGATGAAGGAGTATTAAAGACCAGATATAGTATAACATATAGCACATAACGCAAATTTAATATTAATTTAAGGAGAATATTTGACATAAATGACAAAATCACTGCACATAAGAATATGCAAGAAGAGTTGTTAGAGATGACGGATTCCACAACAAGAGGATAATATAATTAGTACTACCTTCTGTCATTAATCAAGTATCATTTGATGAAACATTTAATATGTATAACTACTATAAGAACTATCTTAAAAAAATAGATAAACACGAGAGACAAAGTAGATTAGGGTCTTATATTTATAATCAAATTAAAAGACAAACTAGTTCTTATATTAAAGACAGAAGGTAGTATTTAAAAAACAGTTGGCTACAAGATCACCCTTCTATTAATAATTAATAATAATCAAACCAATCAATAGTATATAATACATCGATCCATGTCCAAATTCCACGCGTCAGAAATAATGGTCATAAAGAAAATGATCGACCGGCCCAATATAAATATTTTATTAACGTAATTTTATACGAAAAACGTGTTAATTTTTAACACATTTTTTTATGGTTATGATTAACTTAATGTCAACGGCGTCCCTAGCTGTTTACATGATCCTTCATATTAATTTAATTTATTCAAAAAATAGCAAAAGTTTTTATTAAAATAAACAACAAAAGAATTAGGTTGCTAAAATGAGAATTATTCCTTCTAATCAAACCAACGGGATCTCTCTGCATTATTTGGGCTAAGGAAATGAAGAAAAAGTTGCAATCCTCCCCGTGTGCTATCGTCGTCGTCGTCAGCATCAATTATAATCCTTTTGAAGGGGTCCATCAATGGTTGAGAATTGAAACAACAGTGGTGTTATGCAGATATGGCATGCTTACACGATGCAATAAAATATGTAAAATAAGAAAAAGTAGTGTAGATATTTAGTACCCAACAATGCTTAAAATAGGATTACTTCTAATGGCACAAAAAATGCAAAATTTTTATAACTGAGGCATGTGATATTTTTCTAATAATTTTTTGTATGTGCAATCATCAAATTAAATTATTTTAAAGAAATGTTTTAAGGGTTATAGTATAAATGCTAAAACAAACTATATGAATGAATAAAGTGTTTAACTATTTATCACCAATTTGGGAGCATAACTTTGTACTTGGGAATATACTTTTTATTCTTTATTTTTAATACAAAATTATTGTTGGACACAAAAAATGTACAAGCATCACTTTTTGTAAACATTATGAGATATAAGGGGTGTTTTGACATAAACAAAATCATGATTTTAAAGGTACTTTTATGATATACGAAATAAATATCTGAAAGAATTTATCTCGATTTACGGAAAACTATTTCTGAAAAGTGTTTTTGGGTTATCCAAATACTTTTTTAATTTGGAAAAGAAATCTCATTTTACCGACAAAATCTGAATCAACATGAATGAGTAGTACAGTTCTGCTTTTTCTTTCTTTTCTTTTCTTAAGTATCAACGTTGATGCCATATTTGCAAGTGCTGTCAAAATATTTTTTTTAAAAAAAAATGTTCGCAAGTATTGTGGGTCCAACGAACGGTTTCAACTTTAAATTTAAACGACCGAGGGGACTCTTCTATGGTATCGTGGCCCGTTTAAATTGGGCCACGAGTCTCCCAAATGTTAGCCCATAACAATTTTGGCCCAGCCCATAATAACTTGAACACTCATTTTTTCTTGCCAACAATTTAAACCCTGATTTAATCATAATCTTACTTGTCAAAACATTTCTTGAGTTGATACAATTACTAAGGACTCGGTCCACAATGTACAAAGTCATTGGTTCAAGTCTCACTATTAATATAAATACTGCTCCTAATTTTTATTATAAGAATTAAATAATTAATTTGTAAATATTAAAAAAATTAACTAAGTTAATTATTTACATGAAATATGTACTTGGTTTTTCTAAATTATTTTTTTGATTATGAGCGTTTGATTTATCTCCTGATAAAACTCTCCTAACATGTTTAATCAACAAGGATGCTATGAGCAAAAATTATAAATTTAAAAAAGCATTGAATTGTCATGATTAGTCTAACGAGGCAATTTTTTTTTTTGAGAAAATCGGAAAAAAAATTGACAACAATTCAATGACAAATAACATCAAATTTTTGATAAAATAACATATTTGCATTTTCATAATTTTCATGATTTTTTTTGGTGATTTTTCCATTTCCTTTTCATCGTTTTTAGTTTTTTTCCGTCAAGCTTATAGCTTGCCATATGTAATCCATATATGAAAATAAAGATGAGAGGGAAATTATATTTAAAAAAAAGGGGGAGAGGGAAATATAGAGGGACTTAAGTAAAATTTAATTAAAGCATGCAGTTAAATGTGTAATTTAACCAAACAATATTTCCCCTTGTTGGGCCGTCTCTTCACTGAGATAGTCGCCTGCGGACGTCTGATGTCACTTCTTCGACGCTCGAATTATGCATTAAGGTGCTTCGCCGGCGATTGCCGTTGAAACCGCCGTCGTCGGCGTACTTGTCTCGCTCTCATTCATTTTGATCCTTTCAATTCGGTAAAAGCCCCAACAGTGTCGTCCGTGAATGGCTCAGCAGCCGTTAGATTTCGATTCCTATTATCTCCACCAACCTGATGACCGGAGCCACATCAACACGCTCTTCGTATCAGGCCTCCCTGACGATGTAAAGGCGCGTGAGATTCATAACCTCTTCCGCCGTCGTCCCGGCTTCGACTCATGTCAGCTCAAGTACACTGGCCGCGGCAACCAGGTTCGTTTTCTGTCTTATTTTTCTCCTGAGATGCTTGCAGGGTCTGTTTCGTTCTGTAGAACACTTTGGAACTCTTATTTTGTGGTGCAGGTTCAATCTACCTAAAAAGCCTTGTTTTCTTTGTTCATTTCGGAATTTTGGGAGATCGCAGACCGCCTTAGTACGAGTTAATGAATCGAAAATTCTTGTTAATTTCAGGCAACTCAAAAGCTTAACACAGATGAGCCTAAGTCGAGCTGACATTGCTTCTTCTCTGTCCAGTAGATAAAAAATTATTTCTTGGTCAACCTTTTTGACCACCCAAACAGTATTGGTGGTTTTTCGACCTTTTCCAGTTTCCAAATTAAAAGAACTTCAAGCTTTTTTTGTTCATTTTTTCTACTAAGATATGTTCATAATCTATCTTTCTTGGGTTATGTTATGATTTTAGAAGCAAAATCGATGTGAGAGTTTTTCTTTTCATAAGAAACTAAGAATACGTTGGGTGGATGCCTGTGTCCTCTATATGATCAGTGACGTGATACCTACATTACATATCGGCTGGTTGGGAAACTTAGGACATCCATTTATGTTGACCTGAGAAACATATTGGTTCACTGCTCTTAAGAGAATACTCTTTCTTCACCGTATTGTCAGTAGCTGAGAAGCATATATATTGACCTGGTTTGTGGTTTGAAGTATCCACAAGTGCTTCAAAGTTTAGCATAGTGTTGCTGTCTATTATGACTTTTCAACACTCCCTTATTTGCCCCCCTAAAAGTGCCCATGCATCATGGATTCCATTCACCTAGAAGATGAAGGAAAATAGGACTGTTACACATTCTATTCTACCAACAGCCTTACGGCTTGATGCTTCAATTTACTATTCAGTACTCTTACTTTTATGCAATGTGCTAGTGAAATAGACAAATTAATTTATGGGTTTGGCCTATTGAAGTTCCATAAAAAATTGGCTGATTTTATATTTCTCTGTCAGTCTTTTTCTTATCCGTGGCCCTTTATCAGTGGCAAATTTTCTCTCCGGAGGATATTTTGTTTGATGCTTATTAATATTCGCAGGTTGTTGCATTTGCTACCTTTTTCAATCACCAATCGGCAATGGCAGCATTGCATGCATTAAATGTAAGAATCTATTGCAAACCTTTTCCCTCCTTTTTCTTTTTTTTTTTTGGTTTGGGTTTTTTTTACAATGAAAGACCATGAGGTTAGGATGTAAAGTTCAACTACAAATATTAGTGAAAGCTGATTTCTATGAATCTATTTATTTCCCTCACAGTTCTTGCCTTTAGATTGAACATATTGGAGTTTTTGCCTCTTTTTGTGTGGAGGAAGCAAAATGCATAGAACGTGAATTGATAGGACACATGTCAATGCAGTGGCGTGATAAGTGACAACAATGCTACTAAGGAACTTCTGATAGTTATTGATATACTTATCCATGCAAAAGAAAAGCGAAATTTATTAGCATGTATTTTACGTAAGCGTTACTTACCTACCTTCAAAGTGCTACGTGCTATTCTTTCTTGGAATACAACAACATTTGGACAATTGGCATGCGACATTTGTCTCTAATTTACTGGTAAAATAATTATAGTCAAGGTCAAAGTTTCGCAAGTGCCTCCATGGTTTTATAATTCATTTTTTATATTTAGTGCTCTAGTATAGAATCTAGGAAAAAAGGATTAACTTGTATTTATAGGAATTTAGAATCTTTGGAATTTGTTCTAACATCTAATTTCCTAGTTTGTTGATGATCATTAGGGTATCAAATTTGATCCTCAAGCTGGGTCTGTTCTACATATCGAACTTGCCAGGTCAAACTCAAGGAGAAAGCGTAAACCAGGTATATATTTTTGGAAGAAGACTGAAATAATCAATTTCGTCAAACTAAATGCACATCTAGATGCATACTTGTTTCAAAATTTTTTCCATTTCTCTTGTTTTATGAATGTGTATTTATTTGATGAATTATTGAGAAAGTCAGCTTGTTTAACTACTTTTCCCCAATGGCTACCCAACTTGTACATTGCACAGGTAGTGGAGCCTATGCTGTTATTGATAAAAGATCTAAAGGGGAGGCTGATGCTCAGGCATCATCAAGTGATGATGGTAAAACTGCATTAATTATAAATTCAAGGAAAAGTATATATCCTATATTCTGAATGGCTATCGTCTAACTCGCTCCTGTTTGATGGAATGAGTATTTTGCAATCCACTTAGAGCTTCAATACGTTACTTTACGTTTTCTCTCAACTGAATTTAGGGCCGGTGATGCTCTTCTTGAATCTAACTTCACGTTTTTGCACATCTTGTTTATGCAGGTGATGGAGAATCTGAAGAACCACTTGGGAATCACAGCAGCCATGGTGATGTGACATCAATGAAAAGGTTGGGAGTACATTCAATTATGAATTTTTCACCATAACAAATCCAAAATTTGTAGTTTCTCAACTTACTAGCATAAAGATAAGATTACTATAGTATTTTTTGTGGCGGATCACTAAATCCTTTTTCTCCTCTGCTCGCTTGCAGTGGTGAGACTGCTGTTAATTCTGATGATGCTGCACATCTTAATGTAAGTGAAAACCAGCAATACAATGGACCTCACCTGCTTACTGAATATAGATTTGTGCGACACATCTCATGACTCTGCATCTGGAAAATGAGCGCATTGAAGTCATACTCTGCGTTTCAACCTTGACATAATCACATAAATATATACCGGATGAAAATTTGTGTTTAGCAAAGGATGTTTCTCGTCAAGGTCTTTCTAAATCTTTTTGACTTGGGATCCCCAGGAGCAGCAAGACAAGGGTGCCGATGGAGGACCATGTTCCACTCTTTTCATTGCAAATCTAGGTCCAAACTGCACTGAAAGTGAATTGAAGCAAGCTTTTTCTGTGTAAGATGTTGCTTCTCTCTTATTTGCCTGTTAAATAGGGGGAGTCTTCTCTGTCACTGTTATTGAAATGGATCTACCGGATCCTCCTGCTATGTTCATCATTTATCTACTTGATTTGTGATTAAAAAACTCAATGCCATCTGTTCTATGTTCAAGGTATCCTGGATTCAATATGGTCAAAATGCGTTCTAGAGGAGGAATGCCAGTTGCTTTTGCTGATTTCGAGGTATTAGTTCTTCCAAGAAAATACAGGAATTTTTTCATTTAGTAGGCTATTCTGTAATACTCCTCCGGTCCTTAATATAGGACCCAATTGTTGAGTTGGTTTTGGTTCTAAATATAAGACCAATTTCTTATATTTATTAATTTTTTCTAAATTACTCTTATGGATACTCCCTCAACCATAATCAAGTAAAAGAGGAAGAGTCGGTATTAAGAAAGATGATTATGGTATTTTAGAAAAAAAACGTGTCACATTTCTTATAACTAACTAGTTTACCTAATTTTCTTAATCTAATCAAATTAGTTAAATGGGTCTTATATTAAGAACTGGAGGAGTATTATATAATCTTATAGAGGAGAGGCGGTGAGTGACATGAATATTTTCATTTGAGACAGACCTGACCTATGTGATTTCTGATGGTATAACATAACGTCAACAGTGACATTGTTCTTTGAAGCTATGAGTCATGACATAAGTTTAGAACATATTTTTGGAAAAACAAATCTAATTATTTTGCCAGTTTCAGTTTTGGAGAAGAGTGGGTCTGGAGTCTGAATACCTAATTGCTGCTTGTATTTTCTCAACTGACCTAAATAACTGCTATTAATCAGGATTTAAGAATAAGAAATCATTTGGCTTTCAACCCTCACCCATTATTATGGGCTCTCATGCAAAATAGGCAATATGCCTATTCGCACCGTTGAACATTAATCAGAATTAGCTCGTAGGTTCCAGTGGATGTAGCTCGGAAGGCTTCAAAATGTGAGGCACTTATACACTTGTGCTGAGCCATATGATTTGTCTTGGAAGTTTTTTCGCAAAGGTCAGCTTAGATTCACAATAGAAGCTGACTTTTATGAAAATGAAACAAGATAAATTAGAATCTTCACCATTGACTATGATCTCTTCCCAAATACTAGTCATGTTATAGATGATCTTCCTCTGAACCTTAGCTTCCTCGACCAGGAAATTGAGCAAGCTGCTAAGGTCATGGAGGAGCTTCAAGGAAGTTCGTTGTCATCATCAGATCGGGGTGGCATGCACATAGAGTATCATCTTCTAATCCTATATTTCCAGTCTATTTTTATTTTGCTCTGTTGAGATTTGATATCTGTCTGACCCTTCCCTCCATTTTGCTCTAGATATGCAAGATCCAAAATGAGGAAGCGTTAGACGATCGGGGAGCAAGCGTTTTTCCATTTTTTTTTTAAATAATTACTATAGTTTGTTCATTGAGTCCGCTGAGTTGTTTCTTATGTTTGAGATTCTTAGCGGAGCTACGTAGAGTTTGAAGAAGTGTATATTTCTGAAATATTTTTGGGGTGGAAAGATTAGTGACCAACTAATTAATGAAGAGACATCTTATCCGTTATGTATTCATTGTGTTCCTTGATGCGTCCGTTCTCAAGAGTTTTGAGTTGGAAGACTTGAAAATTTATGGGAAAGTGACAAAAAAAGACCATTGAAATAGCAAAATTGTACATAGGGATCAGTTTGTAAAAATTATTATTAAAACCCATACTAATATTATCATGAGTCCTTATTTGTAATTGTTCTATTGTAGTGGTCTTTTTTTGCCACTCTTCCAAAATATATTGCTATTGATGTTTTCAAAATGCAATTTCATGCTTTACGAAATATATTGATGGCAATAACTTGGTAAGAATCAAGACAAATGGTATATTCTGCGAAATCAGTGGCGGCATTCTTTTGGGTAAAAAAAAGTTTCTCACTCGAAAAATAGGAAGTTTTTTCTGTTGGGTTCTTGAGTTGTTGCGGGGCTAAAGTATGTCTCACATTTCGAAAACCACGTATTAGCAGTTAAATTGATTGGAATCTTCGTTTTCATATGGTATAAGATGAGTTTGATATCTTTCTTGTAAAAAATCATAATTGATTTCGCTGATAACTTCATGAGAAACATATTTATATAAAAATTATATCATATTTTTAATAATTATTTACATTTTTTAATTTATTTTATATGCCAAATGATTCTTGTTGAGAGCATAAAATTCGCATATCCAAAAAGCAAAGAGCATAACCGTTCGAGGCAAGCCTTCAATGTTGGAGAGAAAAATTGCTTGAAAGGATAGTAAATTTGATTTTGATTTTCTAATTCCAAAAAAGATCACATAAATCTATTTTTGGGCAAATTTTTTGTTGATGTTCATGTCCTATGAGTAGTAAAAGTAAACAATTAACAATGAGAAGTACTGCAGGATGCCTTGTAGGGTCGGTTCCTGAGAACATGCTCCGGCTAAGGCACAGAACAACATATTTGACATGTCTCTTAGTCCCACTACCTCCGAAACCCTCTCAGGGTTGTCATCATCAGCCAACCAAGATTGTTTTGTTTTATTACATGTTTTCAAAAGTTGGACATCCAAAAGTGACATTTCCGGATTTTACCCTCTCCATTAAAGCTTATGGACAGCTGTGACTTTCACATTATCATTGTCTCTTTGTCTGCTAATTCAGATGACCTGTCCCAGCTCCGGCTTTGTTTCCTTCTCAGCACCTGCACACACATACACTGACTCCACACACACACACAGAGTGGAGCTCATTACAAGAAGCTATTTGGACACTTCAAGACCATAAGTAGCTTTCAAGAGTCAGATCTGAACCAAGGCCATTTAGGCGGCAAAGCTAAATTTCATGAAAGAATTAGGGGAAAAAAGGGGGGGGGGAGCTTTATATATCTATCCTTTTCATTTCCTCTACTTTACAGATGCAAAAAAAAAAAAAGATGACAATCCACAGAAACAGACAGATAACTACAAAGGAGGAGGGCCTATCGAGATAGAGAGACCACCCTCAATGTGAGTAGGGAACCGCTTTACATGTCTTCACGTGCAGTCCTCCTAACCTTGTCTCTTGTCCAATGGGAGGAGGTCCTGTATTTCTCAAGGGACAGCTTCCCACTGAACGATTCCAGCGACTCTTCTAACAATGGACCACTGAAATGGTGCTGCCCTGCCCAGATTCGACCGCTCCGACTTCCCACATCATACCCGGAATTTGAAATGTAATTTGTTTCCATGATCATGTCACCGTCCAATATTCGGAGAACCTAAAACAAAGAAGCAAGAGTATGGCAATGTGATTACGATAAGAAAATGAAGATGGTGCATGACATCAGAGTAGAACAACATATACCAAAAAAACAGAGACATTTAGGCATTAAAGATATCAATACATCATTATCACACAAGTGTTTCCCATCAAAGGGCATTTAACTTGAGAATAATTCCTTAATTGATCTAATAACACGCATTCCTGATTTTCCGTCAGACAGTGGCCTTGTCAGTTGCATCATATGGTGGGTCAATTTGGGGAATAGAAAGTGGTAAGATAATGATTATAGTAAGAGACAGCGGATTGCACAGACACGGAGTTGATATGGAAGCCTTTGATCTCTTGGGGGACATTTACTAACATTTTTGCACAGGTTATTTTCATCCTCGTCCTATTAACACTAAATAATTATCCCCCAACTGTTGGATTATGTTCTTCTAAACAATATATAAATGCAAGTTTTTGAATCCAAGTCCAACAATAGATCTATCCGAGGAATCTCTTTACCTGTGACATACGCGGTCGAGAATGAGGATCTCGGCGAATGCACAATGATGCAGCATGCAGCATGCAATTGACCTCATGTCTTGAATAGCGATTTTCCAGCCTTGGATCAATCAGTTCCTCTATGGCATATTCTTCCAACAGTGGGCGTGCCTGTTTAATATCCAATTGTTCAGAATTACTCAAGGCTTAGAAGAACAAAAATAATACAGTTAAGAGATTATAATATTATCTTAGTATCTTTTAACTTACCCACTCAGTAAGACACTGCTGTCCCTTGGGTCGAGTAAGATCCACAGCTTTTCGTCCAGTAACAAGTTCCACTAATACCACTCCAAAGGAATAAACATCAGCTTTTTCAGTAATTTGTCCACTTTGAGCATATTCTGGAGCCAAATACCTGCATAGCCAAAATAAAGCTTGACTGCTTAAATAGCACAGACCAGAACATCGAACTAATTAAGCATTAAAAAGCACCACTTACCCAAATGTTCCAATTACTCTAGTTTCAACACCAGTGTCTCCGTCAGGCTGCCACCTTGCTAGCCCAAAATCACCTACCTAACAGAACTCATCACAGAACAATCATGTTTGGATTCACCCATCAAGGCACACAATGTATAAGAAACATTGAAATCTCATGCTATTTGTTCTATATTGACTTAACGTATTAAAGATTCTAAAACTATCTGATAAATGACGATTTACAAGAAAAACAACTTTAGGCAGGGATGAAAATACTGGTTATGATGACTTTCTTTTGTAATTACAGGACTGAGCCGTAAATGGAGGTAATATGTACCAGTGGTTCAAAATCATGGGTGATAAGGATGTTGTTTGGCCGCATATCACGGTGGATAATGCAACCGACTCTACACTCTTCATGGAGATATCGCAACCCTCGGGCAGCTCCAACTGCAATTTTCTGTCTTGCTGACCATTCTAACGGCTTTTGCTGTCGCCCTGAAATAGCCAAAAAAGACAATTGATAACTTTTGTGTTCAACCTAATAAAATCATGATGTTTACATATCCAGCATGATTTTATCTTTTAAGAGCAAGTTAAATCCTACTCCATCCAAGGCCTAACAAGTCTTACGGATTGAATGATTTCGAACGCAAAAAAACACAATTCTTGAGTTACACGTGCACCTAAGATCCACCTGATACTCGTAGGAGTTTTCTCTTGACAGTTTGAAACACAAAATATAGAGCATGTGTAAACCCGTTTCCCATTAGCTAATAATCTGCATTGAAATTGGACAAACATACCCCCAAAAAAAAAAAAAACTTTACATGGACTATTGTAACACAATAAGTCAAATGTCAAGAGTATAATTCAGTCAAGACAGCATTTAGTGCATAAGCATAAGAAATTACCATATAGATGAGAATCTAGTGATCCATTGCATATATACTCATAAACCAGCAGCCTTCTCTTATCCTCTATACAGAACCCTATTAGCATCACAACATTTCGATGCTGAGCACAGCTTAGGACTTCAACCTCTGAGCAAAACTCGTGATCACCCTGAGAACTGGCCAATTTATGCTGCTTGACGGCAATGACTTGTCCGTCTGGAAGAATCCCTCTATGTACAGATCCAAATCCCCCTTCTGCCAAGAAATTGGCTTGTGAAAATCCGCCAGTTGCAAGCTCCAACTCAGCATAGCTGAACCACTTTGGAGGCTTTCCGAAAACAGGTGCTTTGTGTTGACATATTGAACATAATGGAGGGGGTCCAGGAGGGGCATTTCTGGATAATGCTATTGTGTCTCTCACATTTCCACTGAAATCCAACTCAGTTGTCCATCTGGCTGAAGTATCAATTCCAGCTTCTCTGTCAAGCTTCGAGAATTTTTCTAGCAAAGCTCTGGTTGTAGACGTATGAGGCTTATTGTATGGTTTCTCTGGTCTTTCTCCTGTGCGCTGAGATGATTGTTGATGTCGAAGTAATTCTGTGATCCATGGCTGGAATCTCAGGCTTGCTGAGGATGTGGATAGATTTTCACTCTCTGTGTCTGAATTAATATCATCAAGTTCTTGATTTTCCTTGATTGTTTCCTCTTTCTTCAATTCACCATTTGTCTCTGGGATGAAATATGGTGACGTTCCTATATCAGAGCTTGAAACCGATGAAGTACCTGCTTCAGTTGCCGTGAATGGTGTCCCCAACTCTGGGCTGCTAGTTGGAGTGACAACTGGGCCTTTAATGGAATTCAAACGATCATTCTTCTTTTTGGTTTGCTTTCCATGCATCTCGTCTTTCCCAGAAGACACTTGGCCTGCTTCTTCAGGATCCTTTTTGCGCGAGCCAACCAAATTCAAGCGGAGTACTTTTGGTTGGGAATGCTTCATAACGACAATGTTGCATTGTAACTCTTCCATGCAACGTTTTTCTTCATTTTTGAGATGTCTGCAAGAGAAGCGATACCAAAATACCAACAATACAGATGCAATTATAATCAGTTGATCACAGATCAACAAAATAGTAAACCAGAAACTAAGATTTCGTCATTGAAGTTTCATAGTTAAAATGTCATGCCTTTCTGTGTTAAAAAGAAAAGATAGACTATTACTTGTCTAATACGACCCAACTGACATGGGCTTTCTTGGCCTCTGCAGCCACTGCTCCACAAGGAGATCCAGAGACAATTTTAATCTTGACATTTTTCTGTTGAAAACGATAGGAACAACGATGCATTATCAAGAATCAATGTGCAATTATGCATTAGCCTTTCTAATATTAAGGCTATATACTGACCTTATTTGGGTCATAGACGTCATGAAGCTGAAGGATCATCTGGGAGCAAGAATCGGTGATAATATCACACTTCTGCTCTGAGGTTGTTCCTGGAGCAGACTTCTTGTGGCCACTGGCACAGTCACCAGCAAATCTCGGAAAACCCCATAATCTTCTACCTGAATAGTTGCGGAGTAATTATCAGTTACATATTCTGTAGACCACTTTAAAAAGTAGATATATAAGACAGGTATATGTCAAGCATCATTCGCAGAGCGTTAAAATGCTTACCTTGAAAGAACCAAAAAATAAAAGAAGAGGAGGAGGAGGAGGAGGAGGAGAAACAAATCATTTCTCAATATACACTGAATAAATCATAATGAAGAGAGACTACCTGAACTTTGTGAAGGAACAACTACTAGTAGTGTAATGCAATCCCCAGGTTGAACAACATGAGTCAAAGACCAAACCAGAGCAGTCTTGGGAATTTCCTTTGATGCCTTAACGGCAACAATAACCTTCTCAGCAACATCAGAGCCTTTTTCCTGCTTTCCTCGCTTCTCTTGTTCTCGACTCATCGGCATTGTTGATTCCAAAACAACCGCTCACCTCCAGGGGAGTAAATCTCAATCTCAAGACTCAGCAACCATCAAACCCGTATGTTCGTTCCTACATGCTCAAAAGTCAAACGATACGAATAAACTGAAGGACATGTTCTTCTATATTACCACCAACTCGCTAACGTTTCATTCAGGAACAACAGAGCAACCATCGATAACACCCTTTTAACTAATTTCAGACTTTTTGTTCCTCAATGGCAAGTAAGCCCTCTTCCAATTTTCTTAGAAGCTTGCTTTTACTCTCACCAACAAGAGGGATCCCTCAGTACTTGTCCAAATAGTGCCGAATGATTCAAATCCTTGAAGAATAATATACCTTTTTGGCTCAGAAAGCAAGATGGTACAGTTCCCAGCTTATACTGCAATATATTTTTCAAACTCTCTGAAATTCAAGAAGATTCAAAGCACTGTTTAACGGTACAAAACCAAAGGAGACCCCCCAGTCTATGTCACCAGCGATGCTTTTGTGCCTTCAAATTGTCAAGTCAAAATAATGCGAAAAGCAGGAGCTCCAAAAAGTTAAAGCAGGGAGTGATTTGGATCCAACTAGTTGGCTCTACATTCGATAACACTAGAGGAAATCTCCGTCGAAGATTCCGATACAGAAATAGCACCACATCTTCTATATTCGACAGAAATCAATCTAATCACCAGCGATATGACAACAGGAAGAGGTCGTTTAGCTTTCCGGGTCAATGAAGGTTAATCGTTAGGTTTGATCCCTGCACAGTCCAAGAACCTCTGATTAAAAAAAGCAAAATGACGCGTAGCGTCTGAAGAAAATGCACCACAAAAATGTGACACATATGTATAAACAAACATATAATTAAATTCACTTGCAGCCGCCATTTCGCTGCTATGGAAGATCAAGAACATCATTGGCGACTAGAAAACAAGAAAGAAAAGGGGCCGGAGTAAGATCCAAACCTTTCTTTTTCTTTCTTGTCTGCCATTCCTCATAGACAGTTGAATAGAAAGCAAAGAAACAGAGAATACAATAATGCACTACTTTTTTCCGCTCACCATAATTAATCTATCATCATCAGCACGTTAGCATTTTCCAGCGAAGAACCGCTTATGCCAACCAAAAACACCTCCAAAACTGAATAACAGAGAACCGAACTGGAACTGAATAATTGATATGTTTCAGAGTCAATCATTGAACAAAAAAAGCAAGAAAACGAAAACGCTATAAGATTTGAGCAAAGAAATTTCCGAAGTGGAAGAGATAAAGAGTGAAAAACATCTGGTCACCATTTTTATTGTGGTGTTCCATAAATTGGCAGGAAAATCAAGGTTGGACGCGGCAATGCTATCCGTACTTTGAAGTTCGCTGTACTGCGGGTTGCATCATCTGGGAACCACCATGGCACAGAATGAAAGAAATAATGGAGATGGGACTATGGAGCCAAAAACAAGGACAAGGACCACCAAATTGACGCAAATTTGGGGTAGTTTGAGTTTTCAACATTCCAAGTGAAGGACACGCTTCACTGAAAGGAGTAACAACAGTGAGAAAATGGCGAGGCACACAAGTTTTGTAAGTTCAGCGAATTATCCAAGTACTCTATATTTTAGTTTTTAACGGTTATTTTTTAAAATTTGTCAACTATTTTCTACCACAAAGAACTAGTTCTAATCGTTAATATAAGAACTCATTTGATTTCTATTTTAGTCTTAAATATAACTTTTATATTTATTTTTTTTAAATGGTTCTTGTAATAATAATAGTTCTAGTCAATATAATTGATTAGTAAGGATATTTTAAAAAGACAACACATATTTATTACAAATAACTAACTTAACTATTTTTTTAATATACTCAAATTAGTCAACTAACTCTTATATTAAAAACAGGAAGTGGTATTATTAATTTTGAAAATTATTATGCATGCGAATGTCTTGTTAAGACTTTTGAATGATTTGATTGAATTGAATTTCATATTTTCTATATGTCCTTATTGTTTGGACTTTTATTAAGGAAAAAAATAGTACTCCTCCGGTCCTTATTATAAGACCCAATTTGACTTTTTATTTGGTCCTAATTATAAGACCCAATCCATTTTGTTTCTTATATTTATGCATTTTTTTCCAAGATAATCCTTCTAATAATGATAGTTTAAGCCAATATACTTAATTAGTAAGGATATTTTAAGAATGACAACACTTATTTATTATAAATAACCAACTTAACTTACTTCCTTAATCTCCTCAAATAAGTCAATTGGGTCTTATAATTAGGACCGGAGGAGTAATTCATCATATTTGACTTGGGTTCTTTCTTAATGTTTTTTTTATGTAAATATAATTTTCTAAGGTTATATATGAATAGTCTCATATATTTTGATTAAATTATATTATTTGAATCATAATTAATTTGACCTCGACATTGATCCGATTTAAATCACTAACATTTGGACCAACGTCTCCACTAGTTCACCGCCTACCTTGAAGTTTATTGCAATCTACTGAATTATTAATAAAATAACTATTTCAAAAAAATAATTTAAACAACAATTCGTGTTTATGAAATTCAAGCAGTATTTATAATTTATTCACGTTAATAATTAATTAAATAAAAAAGTTGTCGTGTATGCAGAAGTAAAAGAAAGAATTATAATAAAATGTTAATAAAAGAACATGATTAGAATATTAAACCTCGATATATTTTTTTTAAAACCTTGTTATAATTCTTTTAAATAACACTATTGAAATGCATTTAGGTTTTTGAGTAGAAACTGAAATCCCTTCTTAAATAGTCAACTTACAAATATAAGCTCTAGCTTCCTTCAACATCCGTCCTATAAATGTATTTAGGTTTAAAAACTATTTGGATAAAAATTAAATCATGATTTTAAAAATATTTTTATAATCTGTAAAATAAACTTGTGAGGGTTGCCAAAACATTTTTTTAGTTGTTAAGTTTGTAAGTGGACGGAGAATTGTATTTCTTTTTTCCCTTGCCAGTTAAGTTTTTGAGATATCAAATTCAGATCATCCTTGGGAGGCGTACTTTAGATATATTTTTATTGAAGTTCAAACTTCGAGAAAAGATAATGTACGAAGTATGCGAAATTGTAAATTCCAGGACGTGGTAAATCTCGTTGACAGTACTAGTAATTAGTAAATTGTAAATGTGAAAATGATGGTAAGTTGTACTCCTCCATTCCTTCTTTTTTTTTTAATAAAAAACTTTAAACTGAATCAAATGGATAAAAAAAAAAGTTAAAAATGACAAAATTTTTTCATATATTTATTTTATATTTCATAAGTTATGATTAAAAAAATATTAATAAGTCATTTCGGGACTGAAAAGCAACACTTGTAGGAAACGCAAAAAGGTAAACACAAGGCAAGAGAAGATTTGGAGTACAATAGTCAGAGGCTTCTGGCAAGTCCATCTGGCAGTATTACTTACTCTCCTCTACGGTCCCACTGCCTCAATGCCCCCCTCTTTCCATCGTATTGGGCTTGTTTGGAATTCCGTTCAAAATGGGCTTTTAAACAAGTTCACGTAAATCGAAATAAAACTCTCCTTACATACTTACCTCGTATTTCGTAAATCACGTTTGAAAAGCTATTTATAAGTCAATCCAAACAAGTCCATTATCTCCATGTTGCGTTATGTTCCATGACTTCGGTAATCCCCATTTACTTTCGGATTAAGGTTATTTCGCAAACCAGCCGTGTGCGTTTGGAAGTTTATTTTTTGTAATGTCACTCTAGTTTTTAGAAAACTATTATTGATTATTAATTTTTCTAATGATAAGAGTGAAATTATTCATTTTTAAATACTTTTTTATGAGGGGGGTATAAAACATTACCAAGTATTAAAGTACAAAATTTGAAATTTAGACGGATTCTTTTTATTAGATCTATGATTCTAGGCAAAGATCTCGAGATTTTCAGAACGTTGCAAAGAATACACACTTTACGAGGATAATTTGCCTCGTTTGTGTTTTGTTAATGTTTTGTTATTAGTTAGTATCTTCCGTCTTTAATATAAAAAAAATTTAATATTTAATTTGATCTTAAATACAAGACTTTAATTCATTTTGTCTATCATATTTATTTATTTTTTAAAAAAGTAGTTTGAGTAGTAATTGCATATATTAATGGTTCTATCAAATTGTAATTTTAGCTAATATACATGATTAGTAAGGATATTATAGGAAAGACCACACCTATTTATTATAAATAAATAATTTAATTAATTTTTCTAAATTAATTAGGTAGCTATTATACTAAGGAGCGGACGTAGTATTTAGTTTATGTTAGGTGTATTCAAGTTTTGATCTTGTCTTTGTATTAAAAAAAAAACAAGGAAATAAATTAAGGGCTTGATGACCAAACTAATTGGGAAAAAAAGGATCGAAAATTATTCAATTAAAAACATATGCAAGCAGACGTGCATAATACGAAAGATAGTAAAATGCAAAATATGAAAGATAAATGGAAAATTTTAATTAGGTCATTTGTTTACCATAGAAAAAAATTTTACATTTTACATTTTATATATATTCTACATCTTACTTCTTACCGTTGGTATTTTGTATTTTTTTTCCTTTCATAATTTTTTTCTAGCGAAGTCTAAATCATTTTCCTAAGGCCTATATATTTCGAATTGCAATAACTTTTAATTTAAGAAAAGTCAAAAGGATTGTCTTAATTTGATATTTTTGAATAGGTTTGTAAGCTAATATTTAAAAAATGATTTCACAAAATGCTCGAAAAAATTACGAACAATAAAAGTTATGTAACTTTGACTTTTTCCCCTTTCACTTTCATTGTTTTTCCATTTTTTTTCCTTTTAAAAGAGAATTTATACTCTTGATTTACTTTGAAGCCAAAGGGAGAATAATACCGTTACGTGTCTTTAGTAGATGTCTCTTTTTGTGCATTCAATTCAAATGAACGCATCATATTAATAAATAAATTATCTGGGAAATGGGAAAATGTTTAACTAATTAATTAGTTAAACCTCATCTTCTCATGTCTCTCTTTTTGTTGACGTAAATAGTTTAAATTTCGAAATAAACTACTGTTGGGACCCACATGCCCTGTATCGTTTGTTCTTTCTTTTTTCTAGAAATATAAAAGAACTTACTATTTTCAAATTAAAGTGTTTGTCATTCTAAATTCTAATATATGTTTCAAAAGAGTGTAATGTTCTTAAAGCATAACAAGCTGACATCAATGAATGGACACAAATAACATGATGATATGCGGTCATTTTAATTTACAAGAATAATATACAATTAAATTAAGGAATTCAGTGAAAAATATATTTTATCATACAATAATATTTATTTTTTTACTATTATTTCTTAACCAAGAAGGATTAATTACGATCAATAAAAACAAGACCACATAAATGTTTAGTCCTCTAAATTTAAATTAAGTTTTAATTTTGTCCCTTAAAGTTTATAAAATGTATTTTTAATCCTTAATCTTAATAACAATAGTCACATTTAACGGAAATGCTAACTAAACCAGTTTACATGGTACTCCATTTCATCTTTTTTAAGATTTTTTTAATTGAATTATACTGTTTGAGAAAATAGTTAAAAGTA